CCTGGGCGTCCACACCGGCCTTCCCCGGGAACCTCTACCCTGGGCGTCCACACCGGCCTTCCCCGGGACCTCTCTGCCCAGGGGGGGTGGGGAGAGAGGGGGGGGGCCCGTCCACACTGACGCCCAGGGCAGAGAGGGTCCCCGGGGAAGGCCGGTGAGGACGCCCAGGGCAGAGAGGGTCCCCGGGGAAGGCCGGTGAGGACGCCCAGGGCAAGGTTCCCAGGGAAAGCCGGTGAGAACGCCCAGGGCAGAGAGGGTCCCCGGGGAAGGCCGGTGTGGACGCCCAGGGGAGAGAGGGTCCCCGGGGAAGGCCGGTGAGGACGCCCAGGGCAGAGAGGTTCCCGGGGGAAGGCCGGTGAGGACGCCCAGGGCAAGGTTCCCAGGGAAAGCCGGTGAGGACGCCCAGGGGAGAGAGGGTCCCCGGGGAAGGCCGGTGTGGACGCCCAGGGTAGGGTTCCGGGGGAAGGCCGGTGAGGACGCCCAGGGGAGAGAGGGTCCCCGGGGAAGGCCGGTGAGGACGCCCAGGGGAGAGAGGGTCCCCGGGGAAGGCCCGGGGCGATGCCGGCTCTGCTCTGAGGCCGTGGCCGCCCAGGCTCCGCCCTGGGCGAGTCGCTGGCCCATCCCTGGGCGTCCACACCGGCCTTCCCCGGGGACCCTCTCTCCCCTGGGCGTCCACACCGGCCTTCCCCGGGGACCCTCTCTCCCCTGGGCGTCCTCACCGCCTTCCCCGGGACCCTCTCTCCCTGGGGTCCTCACCGGCCTTCCCGGGACCTTCTAGGCGTCCAGCTCGGCCTCCCGGCAGCCCTTTCCCCCGGGAATTCCGTGCTACCACCCCTACCCTCCGCAGACCGCCGTGGTGCCCGCCCTCGCGTCCCCGCAGCCGCCCCCGGTAATCGCCCCCGCGCGCGCCGTGCCCGTCCGCCCCCTGCCGCCCCGGAATGCGCACCGGAACCGTCCCCGTCCCTCCCCCTGCCCGAGCTCACCCGTACACGATGACGTCATAGAGCGTCCGGCCTGCACGTTCAGGAAGTGGCGTAGCCCGCGCGCACAGGAGCGGGCACGCCATAT